GCTCACAGGAGTGTACATGTAAATGTACTGTATCAGCGTTACATTTTCTGGATGCAGTTTTTGCCAAATTTTTTTGCGAAGTGTTACAGCATGAGTTGGCATTATTTTACTTCCCTGTTTGGGAAAGATACTCATCCTGATCTTCGCTAAACACCTCAACACTTTCCAAAGGTAAAGGTTTACTCGGCGTTATTTGACTCCACTTACCAGTTGTTTATGAAAAGCTACATTAGATTTTATATAAAATGTAGTGAGAACCTAATTGCCCCACCTTCCCCCTTGATTTTCATTTCTGTGAGAAGAAGATTGTTTTACTGTAGTCCAGTCTAGGCTGTAAACGGGTTTTATAACATTTTTGGAGGGGGGCGTTTGGGGGCGGGGCTCTTAAAGAGAAGGCGAGTTAGCTGCCTTTCGGGAAAGTTACATTTAAACAATATCGTTTGCCAAATTTACTCCACCTGGACTTTGTATACTTGAATTCTGTCCACACGACTCGCGCAGTTAGCAGTTTTTGCATTGTTATTCGCTCTTTAGAGCAGAACGTGTTGTATCGCCTGATGTCTGGTAGCAGTGACATCTAAAGCTATCCCTGACGTGGCCATTCCAAAATGTATCCTTGTGACTTAATGCCATGTTAACTGTGTGGTCGTCATGTGCTGTCACCATTTTCTGTGTCAAAATTATCAGGTACCACTTTTCGGTTAGAGTCGAATTCTTTCCTGGAGGGTTAGGGAAATTGGTAAGAGTGGTTAAATGGAGTTTTCTTTGGCTCTGCTTTTTCTTTTATTCCTTTTTGAATTTTTCTGGTGTAAATGTATTGTAACCAATGATTAACATTCAGTAAATGGTGTAGCAATCTGGCAGATATTTACACCTGCAAATATGTTTTCCTCAAATTATCTTTTATAGATAGACAAAGATTTCTTTGAAGATTGCATTAATGGACGAACTGTTCATGACGTCTTCGGGAATTGAAAGTTTTCAGCTGATATGTTGATGTACTCATTTCAGGTTAGAAAGTTCTACATCTTACTTAGTTCACGTAATATTTTTTAATTCAGAAGCTGGTTTGACAACAGAAACCTTAAGGAAACCACGACGGCTTTAGCAACGAGAACGTAACCGAACAAAGGACTTAACGAGCACATCAACAGCTCGGCACGTGCGTTTTAAAATTTTGTACATTTCTTAGCTGTCCTCTGCAAAACAACAACGTAAAATCGCCAAAATTTGAACAGTCTGAGGAAGGAAACTATTTACGTTTTCATTTGTAACTTAGCTCTACTCGCACACCCTATGCTGAAGATGAGATGTAGCGTCGGTAATTGAATCTACCCACATGCGAAATTCTTAAGAATATTTCTATTCTTTCTTTAACCGATGTGGAGCCATCGCAGAAAGTAATGCTCAAAACAGAAATTGTTAATGGCAAAAGCAAATTCCAAGCTACCCGAGGACATGAAGTGTTTCCTAAATACTTAAATGCAATAACAGCACTTGATCTGTTTTTGTCATTTCCTCGGTTTTCTTCTCATCGCTTTTTCCTTTTCTGCCATTCTGATAGAATTTTACTGTGTGGTTTGTGGTAAATGATATTGTTAATTTGTTGCCAGTTTATTTCTAAGGAATTAGGTGATTGAGTACATAATAACAAAAGGAAAAAGCTCATCTGATTCGAATTTGTAATTTTAATTTTCTCTCGCAAACTTAATAATTTCTTGATGTTCTTACTTGAGGTTGACAAGTAAAGCAAGAATCGAGAGACGAATTATCAACCTTGGACAGAACGGGGTCGATTGTCCAGAAATAAAGCAAGAGACCTGAGGAAAATATGAACCTTGGACAGAACGCAAGAATCGGGGTCACTCCGCCATCGTCTTCCACCGTCCACTACAGGCAGTTTTTAAGCATCTGTAAAAGCTGTCTACCTTGCTGCAACATCTTAGAATACGCATGTGTATTAAGACATACGTTTGAATACATTAAACGCATGCGTTTGAAAGAAATGTTTGTACCACAAAGTAGACAACCCTTGGAAAGATATAAAAAATGTGTAGGCTAGTGGTGGGTGTCGTGGGGGAGGACGGAGGGCAAAAAAAAAAACTGTTTTAAATTAAAGTAATATTACTGTATTATGAGAGTGTAAGAACAATATTGTGATATTTACTATTGTAGTATATTATTAAAAATATATTTTGTAATACTGTACTATTGCAGTACTGAAATGTATTAAAAGATGTTTGTACCTCAGGGTAGTTTGTCTTCTGTCAAGAGTTACGAAAACTGTTTAACAGGGGCGGCTGAGGGGAGGGGTAGATGAGTGTTACACACTGAGTGTTTTACACTGTCTGAGTGCTCAAGTTAATGAGCGCAATAGAAATAAAGGTATTATAGTTCTAACAGAGGCGGGTGTAGTGGGGGATGGTGGACTAATCGAACCCCAATTCTTCATTTTATTCTCTGAATTGGGGGTCGATCCAATTTTGCTTTCTTTCAAAGATTGATAATTGTCTCTACTATCATTCTTAAGGCGATCGTATTCCTTGGTATCCAGCTTTGGGTGGTCGAAGAAACCTGCAAAATTGGGAAATGAAATCAAGACCAAGAATTTGAGCCGTGAAAACGTTACCCGCCTTCATACTTTCAAAGACTAACTAAAAGGACGACAAACGAACTTTTCCCGCCAAAAGACAAAAGACAAACTTCCACAAGCTTTTGTTCAACTGTGCCACAATAGAGATACTCAGAGACTTGGAAATAGTTTCCATTCAAGAGATAAAAAGAATTCGCATGCGTCCTAAATAAACCATTATCAAAAGGACACAAAATCTTCCAATCAAAATCCCATGAAAAACTTCCACGAACATTGCACAAGTTTTCGATATAGTGAACATTAAAGCTACACTTACCAGAATAAAAAGTATTGTCGTCTCTTCTAACCTTCTTGTGACACTTGTAATCTTTGAGGTAGCTGAAGAGGAAAAGTACGCGATAATTATATACATAAAAATTGCCAGTCTAATAATTCACTGTTCACAGACAATTTCTGGACCACCATAACAGAATTACACAAGCTTTCGTTCAACTATGCCACAACAATTATCTTGCTGAAATATTTATCTTAGCACTACTTTCCGGCATCTAAGGCCTGGTTTATACGTCGCATTTAATGAGACGAATTTAATTGATGAATTTTTTTCGTCTAGGAGACGAAATTAAATGTCAATTCATTTTAGACATCGAATATAATTTCGATGTCGTTTTGTGCCTGCATTGACTTTTATCGGCGGAGAACTTCCAAAAACAACATGACGGCCTTCAGAGAGGCAGTAATGCTAAAGATTGCTCTGGCGAGACGAAGGCGTAGGAACTTGTACCAAATTTACCAAGATAGATGCTTCTGTGCTCCGAGGAGTGGATTTTCGTGTATAAATTCTCGCACAAGGAAGAGAGTTACCCAACTCGCTTTCCCGGCTCCCATCCCTCTGCGTCTTCATCCAGTTCAGTCACAGAACATTCCAAACGAACACATACAGGTCTGTGACATCAAATACAACTGTATTTCGTTTTAGCCTCGCGTGACCAACAAGTCTGACTCAACGTTTTACGGAAAAGGGCTCCTGAAATCACCATGTTTCCTATTTTCGCGGGAACTCTTCTCCCCTTACGCATGCCATGTAGGTGAAAACTGTGAGCGTGGGCTCAAAATTAACCGGTGGAATATTTTATGTCCTCGAAAAATAATGTATGCATTTACTTCGATGCGACTGAAAAGCGACGTATAAAACTGACACGCATTTCAGACGTTTTATCCGTCTGGGGCACACGGATAAAACGTCTTGGTCGAATTTAATTTGCCAGACGAATTTAATTTGTTTTAGACGTCGCTTTACTGTCGAAGAAAATTGCTGGAATTAAATTCGTGTGAATTAAATTCGTCTCTAGTCGCAACAGGGCCTATTAAACAGACAAGAAAAACGAAATGATAACATTTTAAGATCTCCAGTCCTGGTCAATATCTTTTTTACCCTTGAGCGACCCAAAACAATTGAAGATGCTAATTTCAGGACCACCGGTACAAATTAAACTTATCTATTTATCTTAATCTCATCGATGAAATTGATAACAAAGAAATATTTTGGCAGTTCTGACAGTTTGTTCGTCACGTCTTTTAATTAATAAAAAATATTTAAGGTACAACCAAAGGATTGACTAATTCAGAGATGAAAATTAAAACTATTTTCAGACCAACCCTGGAGAATTGACGTAAAAGTCTGCTTTAGCGCCTTTCGTAATAACTCCATCAAAAGACCAACTAACTACCTGTCGTTTTTAAGAGACATAAAAACTACTTTGGGTAGTAGTAGATTTTGCGTTCAATTCTCAATTTTCACATAATGATCACGTTCATGGGTAAGGGCTGTAACGTTTTGCGTTAGTAATTCGTTTTTTAACTTCGCTTTATCTTTTATGTAAGCCAGAGAACCAGATCATTTCTTTTCTTTTTTTGAAAAAATAAATTCGCAATTATCGCGAATAAGATTCTTTGTGCCCCTGTTTGCCCCATAAAAGCCCCCAAATATTGAATTAGATTAGCTAGCTGTTAGGCAGGTGTTTTGCTCCGCTGTGAGCTAGTTGCAGATTGACATATCCATTAAACGAGATTTTGTGGAAGAGTTACGCTCGAGCCGTAAACTGAACTCGCAGCGCTTAGCAAATGCGATTGTCGTAGCATTCCACTCTAACCAGAAGATAAATTCTGATAGGCAGATCTCGCGCTGCTAAAAGCCCGGCATTGCAACATACCCATAATGCATACCTAAAATAGTGCATCAATGTTGTTTGCTACAGTATGAATTGAAGACGAGCAGTTTCTTAATGATAACAAAACACTTGCCTTGGACACCTCCTGGAGACCATCATAGTCCAATAATCCAATAAAATCCAAGAACTTTGAACAATCAGTGTCCGCACTCTTGCTTGGGTCCTGTATCAGGGTTGAAAGATACAGAGATCTACAAACATTACCCTTCAGTTTGTCTATAAGCTTTTCTATATAAAACAGAAATTGAGTATCTTCAAATCTTTTCAGAAATTTGTTGCGTGACACTGACACCTTAGTGAGTCACTCTCTTGTACAAAGTCAAACACCCGATTAGAGCATTAAGACGGTCCAGTGTCTAGAACAGTTTTTTCTCTTTTTGGGGACCAAGTCTTTGCATCATAGATTAAGACTAAGGAAGAGTTTTGTAGGGTGAGGTCAACTCCTTAGTGGTCAGCTTTAAGCCACCCATCTCTTGTACAAAGTCAAACACCTGATCAGCGCAAAAAGACAGTCCGGTTTCCAAAAGTTTTTGCTCTTCAGTTTTTAAGGACCAAGTCTTTGCATCACAGATCAAGACTAAGGAGGAGTTTTATAGGGTGAGGCCAACTCCTAAGTGGTCAGCTTTAAGTCACCCATCTCTTGTACAAAGTCAAACACCTTATCAGCACATAAAGACAGTCCAGTTTCTGAAACAGTTTTTCCTCTTTTTGGGTGACCAGGTCTTTGCATCACAGATCAAGACTATGGAAGAGATTGTTTGGGAAATACCAACCTTTAGTGGGTCAGAATTGAGTCACCCACCTCTTGTGCAAGTCAAACACCTTCAGGATTAGCACAAAAGACAGTCCAGTGTCCGAAACAGTTTATTCCTCCTTTTTGGGGACCAAGTCTTTGCATCACTGCTCAACGAAAGGAAGAAAGATTGTTTGGGTGATATGTCTACTGGTAGTAGATTTGCATGGAGCATCCTTTGTCTTTTGCAAAGTTAAACTTCAGTTTAGCACACTCCAGTGTCTAAAACAGTTTTCTTTCCCTTTAAAGTAGGACCAAGTGTTTGTGTAAATTTTTGAGCTTTTTACTTTGCAATATTATTTTTTATTATCCAACTTTGCTTCATAGGGTATAAATAATGCCCAAAACAATTACAAATATCTCTCAGTATTTGTACTCCAAAGAGCTGGTTAGACAGGTTTTCTCGCACCGTGCAAGTGACAAATTGGATTGAAAAAATGGCAAACACTTTAAATTATGTTTCTGACAATGAAGAGTTGGATTATGGCTGGTGAATACTGATCCAAGTTTACAAGATAAATTGAATGAAGAAAAGCAGTTAAACAACCAGGAAATTTCATCATTTTTTGAAGAAAATAGAAACAGGAACACAACAATGTGCCAATTCCATTCTACTTCACATACTTCTGTCATGCACTCCCCATAAATTAATATCCACAAAATTCATCCCCAATTGACATAACAATTTGGCATGTTGGATAATAAATCTCTTATTAGATGTTTTGTTGTGTAATATTGCTAAGTATTTTTACTCATTGTTTATATTTTGACTCATCCTTTGGTCTTGTCAAAATACAGCATGACTTGTAAAAATACTCAGTGATACTTAACATGACAAAACGTTTGACAAGATTTATGTATTTTATTTTATCTAGGTCAATACTTATCTCATGAACTCAGCTGCACTCACAAAAACTTAGTGAGACTAAAAGAAGAATATCTTTTTCTAGGGAAAGAAACAAAGAAATCATTCAATGACACTTTCAAAAGAAATCATTGAGTTTTACGGTATAAATTAAAGTGTTTTGCTGTTCTAGCTGTCAGTTTTAACACAGGTTATGTGCATGTTTAATTCAAACAGCTTTACAAAGATCCCCTGCACTTTTTCAAAGGTTAAAAATCTGCATGATTGTTCCACATGGTCCTCTATGGCTTGAAATAATCACAGAAAAATAGCCTTGTTACACAGTCAATATAGGAGAGGAACATTGCTCATTTGAATATTACATTAAAATAAATACACTACTTAAAAAAAAAATTACCTGTGTCAGTTTTATCCTTAAGTCAGCACTTTGACAAATCAATCTTGCAATCTTATCGTCTTGCTCTGTATGAGATAAAGGTATAACTTTTCAGTTCTTGCTAAAATATCACACATGCCATAACATCACACAAGAGAATAGACATCTCACAATTTCACCATGGCATCTCACCAACATATGATGAAAAATAACTTTTCCGTAGAGAAATACCTTAATTAAGAGGGGTGACCTGCACATCATGGAAACTTTGAAAACAATTTTTTTTCCTAATGCCTTGAGTTTAACATGTCATAAAATTTAAAGTTATTCACATTAAGTGGAGAAGCAAGCCTGCAGAGTGTCTTGTTCTAAAATATCTACCAGTGATCAGTGTTTACCAGCTATTTCTTGTTAACTTTTGAGAAAAGAATAAAAGATGCTGAATAAATGATTTACCTGCTGGTTGTTCAGCTAATTGCACAAGCTGGCTTTTGTCTATTACTTTTCATAATTATGAATTTCGTGCTTGGGGCTGGTGCATCTCTTTTGCTTTTGGCACCTTCCCTAAATGTTATCACAGATTAGCCACACCCTTGATTTGTTAGGAACATTAAATGGTAAAAATGGTATGGCTTATACGCATGTATAAGGTAAAGGTGAAGTCTGTTAACGAGCCAAGTGGCCCATCTGGCAGGCACTTAACTCTGGTTTCTGTAGCACGAAGTGGCTAGGAGTGTTTCTGCTTACCCCTGGATGTTAGTCTATTGCAGGGTTACCCCAGCACTAAATTTGCCAGTACCCATTTAAACATCTGGGTGGAGAGAGGCACTGTGAAAGTAAAGTGTCTTGCCTAAGAATGCAACACAATGTTCCCTTCCAAGGCTCCATCCCAGACCACTTGATCCAGAGTTGAGGACACTAACCATGAGGCCACAATGCCTCACACATACACCTGAGTTTACTTTTATATCAAGAGTAACATGAACACAAATAAATACTGGTAAGTATTGAAATAATTGTATTGATTCATCAATTTGATATGCTCAGTTAAAGCATTGCTTATCATTATCATGTAAGCCTACCTGCAAAATGCTTCAACTGCTTGTACTTGAGGCTAAAATCCACTTAACTTTTCTCTCTATATCAGCCACCTGTAACAAAACATACATGACAGCTTATTTTTTGATATCACAACAATTTAGTCCAACTCTTTAAACCTTTTCCTTTTATTTTCATCAAACATCATCCATGGCTCTCAAAATACACAAGTGATTCTTGCCATAGGCGTATGGGTACCTTTGGACTTGGGGGGGCGGTGACTTCCTTACCAAAAAAACTGACTACGCAATGCCTGAAAGAGTAAGGGTTGAAATCAGGATGCAAACGCAGAAGTTCACCATTAATTTTTCCCATCAAATGAAACTGTTATCATTGGAAAAATCACTCAATTGAAAGTTTGCTTACATAATTCTATGAACAGTCTCAATGTTATCTAAAATGTATCAAAAGAAAAAGTTCTTCCTTCCATGGCATTGTCCGAAAATGTCAATTATCTTGTCCATACTGTGGACAATGACTTGATTTCCATAGATGCACTCAATACAGATGATAGCGAGGTTATTTGAGTCTATGCTGCCCCATGGTGTTACGATGGTAAGTCTTCAACTGCCAGAGTCCACTGAACGAACATTCCGCTAAGCATGATGTTGTGGGAATGATGGCCAAAATGGACGCCACCTTTGAGAACTCTGGTGTAATTTCATAAAGGCTGTTTTCATGCAATACGTCAATGACTTCTGCCGCTGTCTTAATTGATTTTTCCACGTGTGTTTTCTTGAATCAATTGAACAGGCATTGGTATGCCTGAAGTAGCTCCTTCTCAAAATTATAGTAACCAGGAATTAGGTCAAAGCTACCCCTGGCAGGGGAATCACTTAGAGTGACATCACCTAATGCACAAAGAACATCTTGGTCATTTCCGCAGAACCGATTCTCAATTTTGGCCAGGACCTTATCCAGAGAGGTGAAAAAGGTGTTGACTCTATGGTAATCCTCTGGTTT